TTTTTTTTTTTTTTTTTTTTTTTTTTTTTTTTTTTTTTTTAGTGTTATTTTTGAATAATGCTTTAGGGCATAAAAATGCACCAACACAATGATGCTTAATTGTATTAATGCTAGATGCAATAGAAATCCATTGTAGCCTCTACGGGCATTTAAGGAGGGAGGGAAAGTCTGCAAAACCCCATAGCGGTAAGGGTCTGTGGTGCCAAATGACTGCAGTTTTCTGACCTGCATAGCCCATAGCTGGGTATTTTTAGCCCATCCAGAAGGGGATAGAATCAGGGCTGAATCCTCCTCGGTTAGATGAGCTCCAAGTCTTTGGAGCTAAGTCTTGTCATGAAGATTTGGAACTTGGAGCTTTTTGGCTGCCAGAAATGCAGTGGCAGTGTTCTGTCTTTTATACTGGGCAATTTGGTGACATGTTCCCCTCCAAGTAAACTGCATGCATAGAAGTGTTACTGGAAAATAATAATAACATGGGGAAAATAATTTTTCTCTCTGGCAGACAGACAAATCCACTGTCAGTAATGATGGCCCCTCAATGCAAAACAGATGAGCATGAATGCAAGCTAGGAAGAGAAATACTCCCTGTAGGATGCATCACAGTGGGGTTCAGGTTCTAGATTTGGAGCATCTCATGGACCAGGGCTGAGGGGACACCCCAGTCTGTGTCCTGGGTATGATTTTTGAAGACTTTTCCCACGAGGGTGTGCCAAGAGGATGAGTGTGAGATGGGGAGTCAAATCTCATGGAGTCAAGCCAAGAGGATGAAAACTTTGAGCAGAAGATCTAGGGAAATGTTCCAGAATCATAGAATCATTAGGGTTGGAAAAGACCACTTAGACCTATCACCAATCATCTATCACCATCAAGAAGAACTAAAGTGGCTGAATTCAGCAGGTGCAGCAGGTGGGAGATGAGTTGGAGAGCACTGGCTTCCCTTTCACAAAGGTCCTCAATAGCTGAGGAACCCGTTTGACCATAGTGACTGCCAAGACAGCTGTAGGATTTCCATGGAGTTCCTTCTAAATGCATTGGGTTTGTGCTTGTTCCCCTTAGATCTAGTCACCTACCGCTCTTTGTCCAGATGAGCCCGCTGCACTCAGACTGGAGCCACGCTGGACTGAAGGGGTTAATTCCCTCCGCGCTGCACTACAGCCTTTTGGGCTACAACTTCTTCATCCCTGATGCAGTGGGTAATGTCTTCTTTCCTTCCTTGCTTGCTATCGTTGTGTTTTCTTGGGGTATTTTTGTAGCCCTCCATGTGAGAGAAGCATGGGCTCAGTGGCTATAGAGTGGATTCAAGAATGTTGTTCTCAGAACCCCCTTTTGGTTGGATGGAAGATTACTAGGGAATGGGCTGAGGAACTGAAAGCAGAACACCACATTGTTAATCTTAACAGGCAACCAGCTCTCAGGGGATGCCCTATACAAACATCTTTCATTGCATGCGTTGCTTATGCTAAAACTGAGCTGACAAAAGCAAGGAGGTTTCCAGCTGGAAACCAGCATGCTTGGGCTCCCAGATGGGAAATAACTATTCCTAAAATGCCAGCAGTCCTGATTCAAGTCTGTGTTTCTGCTCTGAAGCACAGCGACATGTGATCTTTAAATAAAAATAATTAGAGGTTAAAACACAATCATCTAATGGGGGTCGAGCAGCTCATTTCTCCCTTCTTCTTGGAGGTGAATGTTATTTGTTTAGACCTCACCACAAGCACAGAAGTTATCACAGAGGCCATGCTTAAGATAGTCAGAGCCAGCAGAGCTGCAGACAGCCCTGGAAAAGGGGCCTTTTTTTTTTTTTTTTTGTTTTTAAGTTGAGCATTTTTCAATTTGGCTTCTATTTTTAGTTGGCTTTCCTTAGAAGACAAGGCTTGGGCAATCACATGTGCTAGCGGCATCCTGAAGAGATGCTAAGTCTGCTGGCTAATGTCAATGGGACTGAGGATGAGAGACTCCGTCACTCTGCAGGGAATGGGGTCATGGCGCACAGCCTCCAGAAAAACAAAGATTTGAGGATAGTTTGTGCAAGCCCCCATGGAGCAGTTTGGTGATGGGATTTTGTCACCCCTGGGGAAAGCTGCCCCAGACTGCAGAGTGATGTCCCCTGGGGATGCTTCTCTTTACCCATCCCCTTCTGTCCTTTCCAAACCTCCCTCTGGTGCTCTTGGGAGGAACTGGAATCTACTTCCACTACATTTCTGATCAATCATAGGTACTCTGCCCCTTCATTACTTTCCACTATGAACATGACACAAAGTACATATTTCAGCCTTGTTTCATGGGGTACCAACATCTTTCCTTTCCCATCACGTGTTATTTTCTGAGGACTGTTGGCTTTTTTCCAGCCTTGCCCTTTGCTGTTGGCATATTACTGTCTGTGCCCTGGTGAAGCCAAGTTTTGGGGTTTCCTGCTGTCTATCCTCTACATGCCCCATTCCTTTAGGTGATCCTATCAGGTTCTACCTGACTATTTTCCTTTGCTGGGTTGTGTTATCATCTACACTTTGGTGATTGCAATTTATCCTAGTGCAGGATCTGAGTGAAAACTTGTGCCACCTGCTTTTTCCCCTTGAATATCAAATTAGGTGGCAGCATTGAGAGTATTTTTCCATGATGCTTCTGATTTGCACATCGAATTGGCAGGAAAAACCTTTATTTTTACGATATATTTTTCTTTGCAGAAGACAAATTCCTTTTCATAATGTTCTGCTATAATTTAGAAACTATCTCCTTAGACCTCATTCCTAGTATTTTCCCATTAAACATCTCCAGCTCTATTTAGGACATTCAAAAAGGGGTCAAGCAAGGAAAATCCAGGAGTGGGGATTCAGCTGTTCTTGCAGTGGGGTTATGCATCCTGCTAGCATCAAGAGCAGGTTGCTTTGACCCTTCCTGTGATCAGATATCCCCAAGCAGCTCTGCTCAGCTCCTTGTCCCTGGCAGGAGGCAGCCTGGCTGGTGACACCTCAGGGGACCCGGAGCTGTATGTGAGGTGGTTGCAGATTGTGACGTTCCTTCCTGTGATGGCCTTTGGCACACCACCCTGGCTCTGCTGTGACTACTGGGTATGTACACCAATGACCTGCAAAGAAGGTCACATCTGTTCCTTAAGGAAGAATTACACCCTAAAAGCCATAAAATAAAAAGCCATTAGTAGCCCCTGTTGGGGAAAGTTGGTGCTAAAATTCACTGTACTAATTATGACACCCATGAAAGCCTGCAAGGAATTATTGCATGATCTCAACATTGCTTTTTTTCTGCATAACTATTGTGAGTTTTCACCACTTCATGCTTTGGCTATATGCAACCATATGGCTGGTACCCACAACGCCTGTAGGTGTGACAATATCACACCTGTCTCTCTATCACTTTTGTTGCTGGAATTAAGTATTATTTGGTCAAATAGTTGATAACTACACTATTATGAAGCCCACAGATTTGTCTTCAAGATTTGGAGGTGTTCAAGACCAGGTTGGATGGGGCCATGGGCAGCCTGGTCTGGTACCAGATCTGGAGGTGGCCCTGCCTGTGGCGGGGGGTTGGAAATTATTAATCCTTGCAGTCCCTTCCAACACAAGCCATTCTATGATTCTATGATTTCTTAAAATGTTTGGTAGAGTTTTCCCAGAGGTGTTGCCACTAGAGCACTCCAAGGAGGAAGTGATTCCTTAAATATTGAGAGACTGCCATTAGATCACTTTACCAGCAACAAAAGAGTTTGTTAAAGACATCAGCACCCCAGAGGATGTCACCCCCACAGCCAGCTTTCAGATCTAAATGGGCAAAAACCCACCATCTCAATCCCATTTGTCAGCCATCAGGATTGCCATGTTGCAATTTAGAGATTTCTCCCTAAGGAAAGATCTGTTTTCTTTCCTCTTGCTTTGCTGTGGATTCCTCTTACCAGGTATTCCTTTTATCTCCCATTCCTGTGCAGGTTCTGAATCTTACCCGGCAATGCATACAGAGACACAGGAATTTTGTGGTGCCACTCATCATAAAATACAGCAAGGAATGGCTTAGTTCAGGGTACCCTATCTTCCGCCCGGTGTGGTGGCTCAGTCCCACGGACCCAACTGCTTTCACCATTGAGGATGAATTTCTCATTGGAGATGAGGTAGGGAATGTAGAGACAATTTCTCTCAAGGGTAATTTGGGAAAATACAGAGCTTCCTGCAGTTGTCCACTCCTTCACACCCTCTTCAAGTACAGAGCTCAAATAGAGAGTGCTCAAAACTGAGATGTTGATGGAGTCCTGTTGGCTCCTTCAGTTTTGAAATGTAGAATGTATTCAAAATGGAGAGTCAACAGGACTTTTTTTTTTTTTTTTTTATTTTTTTTAATGTCAAGGTATTTTTCAGCCCTTTGTGGCAAAAGGAATCTCCTGATTGTCATCATTGCTTATTTCTTTCATATCTTTTGGGGGTTTTAATTCCATTACTTGGAGCTACAAGCCAAGGGTTCATCCAAGGTTGATGGTGGCTCACAGAACCTAGTTTGATCCCAGTAGCTCAAGATTTTGGCAGTTACTATGTATATATATACGTAGGAATATAAATATATACTTTATTGTATATTTTGTTCTTGAAAACACAATTATTTATTCATACATTAACTTTGCAGCAAAGTCTTGTGCTGCCTTTGCACAGGGATGCTGCCAAGGAGTGTGGAGGAGGTACAATCTACCTAAGAATATCCAAAACTCAAAAGCCAAGTTCAAGCTTGTTGCTTGTTTTAACAGCAAAGCAATTTCTGTTGCAGAGTTATCTATCTTCTCAGGTTCTGCTTGCAGTCTCTGATCAATATTGCAATATTAAAATCTGGAGGCTTGACTTTCTTATTGCAAATTCTGTAGATTTGATTTATAGCTTTTTGGGGGGAGGGTTGTTTTCAAGGAAAATTTACATCACTGCAGAAAACTGATAAAATATTCTCCTACTTTACAAGCTTGTGTAATCAGGTGGGCGTTGTAAAACTACAGATCTTTAGCATGAGTGAATTGGAATGGCACTGTTTGAGAGAAGAGACATTTCCTTGGTCCTGATGTACTACAGAGTGCATATTCAGGCAGTGGTGATGGTATTGGTTATAACTGCAAGCAAGTTAAAACTTAGCTTCTTCTCCCCAGATTACTCAAATGGAAGAATCCCTGATGCAATGGAAATGGCAGGGCAGAAATGTGCTGTGTGTTAGCAGAGTGAGATTCCCGGTAAAACACAGCAAGCAGCCTTCTCTCTCAGGAGCTGCAAAGATATGGCTTGGCTGAGAGCTCCCAAAATACGGTAAAACATCAGGGTTGCTCCATCAGTGTGGCAGGGCCAAGCATTTCTGATAAAGTACCACATGAGGCCAGCAAAACCTCACATGATTTTGCTTCAAAAGAGACCGAGCTGGCAGGGAGGAGAGCCCAGATGGGGATGTTTTGACTTCCAGGCTGGCTTTTGGCAGCTGGAAGAATCCAGATGCAATCCAAAGCCTGATTTAGTGCCATTTGGAGTATGATTAATAATAATTTACTGGAAAATACATAAGGTAATTCTGTCCTGGTGTGTTTTGAGGTGAGGCTAAGTGTTAGGATGCTGTGATAAACTTTCTGAGCATCATGTTGCATGCGAGCATATCTGCAAGATGCTCATAAAGATGGTTTTGTGCTATCACCAATGTTTTCCTGCTCCTGTCACCCAGACTTTTTTTTTGCAGTAACTCTGGCCTGGCAGGATCACCTTGGTTTGAAACCCTTTTTTTTTTTTTTTTTTTTTTTTTTTTGTTAGGCTGATTTTTACATTCATTACTTCCAGACCCATGTAATCTGCGTGTCTTGGCAGCACACTTCCAACTTATTGAATCCTTCCAGGAAAGAGTGTTGATACATAATAGCAAGGAAACAAGTGGCACTGTTAAACAAACAAAAAACAAGCAAACAAACAAAAAAAACCCAACAGCATCACTTCACATCAGCGCTGTCTGAGTGAAAGTGGAAGCTGTAAGAGGTTGGGTTGTGCTGACAAATACATTTATAAAAGCCAAGAGGGTCCAGAGTGTTCCCTAAAGAGAGCCAAACACCATGATGTCATCTCAGGACATTGCTGCCCAGGGATCATCCACATTTAGTGAAGGGATTGACCAAGAGTACAAGAAATAGAGTACTAGGACTTGAATGATCTCACACATTATTTCTGCCTTCTGATACATTTTTCTTCATTTATTGGCTTTCCTGGAGTTTGTTTTTTTCATGGTTCCTTTCATAGTTTCCTTTCCATGTTGCTTGAGATATAATCTGTTATGTTGTTTTTACTGAGCAAAGCTCTTCCTAGGCTTTAGATCCAGACTAAGTCTCCCAGAGAGGATGGCTTTGGAATCCCACCTTCTGAGCAACCTGGAACTAAAGATCCCACAAAATGTTTCTTTCTAATTAAAATCCAAGTTTCTGCATGTCTTGGTGTCAGATTGTCTTTGATTCTTGATTAGGTCATATTCAAGTGTCTTCAACTGGATCCCCCCAAGCACTTGGTCAGGGGAGAAAAGAGAAATTCCCATGACTGCCAATAATTCCCTCCACAGCTTAAAGGGTTGTATGCCACCAAATTCCTCACAACTCTATAAAATCTCCTCAAAAGCTGCTTTGAATAAGCCTGAGCCTTCCTGCATCCATCCTGGCCTGCTCAACTTTTAGGCCAAAGCTTTGTTTTCTGAAATCTTCAGATTTCTGATGTTAATTCAGTTCAGGTGTTCTAAAATATGGCTTGGGTGGTTTCTGGAGTCTTTTTCTTCCAAAATATGCATTGGACGGAGACTACACAACTTGTTGATGTTGTTTTTTCTTCCAAAATACAAATTGGACAGACTCTCACAGCTTGGTCAAAAGAGGGACATTGCATCACCCCTTCCCACTCTTGTTTAGTAAACCTTGCCCATGGGAACAATGACCTCTGCTGCTTGTGCACGTGGATACTCTCATTTGCAGCCAAAGTTGCTGATTTTCTCTGCCACTGCCTCAACTGACCCTGCTAAGTTACTTTTTCTTTCCCTGTTTCACTGCAGGTCCTGGTGGCTCCAATAACAGAAAAAGGGCAAACATGGCGAGATATCTACCTGCCTGGAGAAGGGTGCCGGTGGCGGGACACCAACAGTGCTCGTGTGTTTGATGGAGGCACTGTCCTCAGGAACTACTCTGTCAGCCTTGAAGAGGTGCCAGTTTTTGTAAAGACCTCCTAAATTCAGATTGTCTCGGGTTTAAAGAAGCTGATCACCTTCAGCACTGGCCAAATGTGGTCTGCTCTTCCTTAAAGATGTTTCAGCCTATTTGCACTTTTCCAAGACTACTTTTTTTATTATTTCAGCAAAAATTCTTTGAATCATTTATTATTTGCTGCTATTCTTAAACAACACCAATACAGCTTGGTCACAAATATAAAAACCATGACAACATCCACACCACATTCACTTAAACCTTTCTGGGGTTTTCCCAGATATTTGTGTGTATGCAATTGGACAGGCTCATCCAGCCCTCACAATAGTGGATTTTCCAGAATCTGATAGAAATGAACATCACCTACTGGTATGGGATTTATGCATTTAAAGACAAGTTTACACAAAGGAAACGACAGTACTATTGATGTGCATGGACATCACATGCTAAATGCTACCTTTTTCTCTCATCTGATGCTGCAAATGGGCCTCCAAAAGAGCTTTTGGTGGTGAGTGAGTGACTTGGATGATAATTGGAAAATGATGTGAATTTCAGTGAGTTTCTTTTGAAGAGCAACTCAGTCAAGCAAAGTAGAATGTCTAATAGAGCCTGATGTGGATGGACAGGATGGCTGCTCACTTTGGGATAAAGAACCCAGGACCCAGCATCCCATGCATTACCTATAAGGCAAACTCCAGCGTGCCTGATCCACTACTCTTCACTAATTGTCGAATTTTATGCTTTTTCTCAATTATTTCTTGAGGTACGAGTGGGAACCATTGGATCCAGCCTGTCCAGTAGAAAATTTTTGGATGGTGCTGTGTGGAGCCAGGAGTTCCTTATAGATCCCTTCCAACCTGGGATATTCTGTGATCTTCATGGGCAAAGTAGATGTTAGGAATGTTGAATAAGCACTGAAGTGGATTATGCTAGCTCTTCAGATAACCCAAGATACAGAGTAGCACATGGATAAACAGAGAGAAGGTTTTGGAGGCTTGCATCTGAGTTAACAGATCACAGTCTGTGGGAAACTAAAAGCCCTGTTTTGGTTCACTCACTTGGTTTGAAGCAAAACCCAGTGTGCTGAATCTTTGTTTAGGATAAAGCCCTAAATCTTACTGGCTTCAGATGGATAGAAAATGTGGAGCACAAGTTTCTGTGCACAGATTAAATCACTGCAAATCCCAATGGTGCTGGCATCTTTCTCCAGACCTTCCTCAAACTCAAACTGAAAACTCTATCAGTTTTTGCTATGCTTGGCCTCTGAAAAATCACTAACTTGAATCCAGGCAAGAGGCTGGCTGAAGATTAAAATAATAACAACAAATAAAAAGCTCACACATGATGCATGTTTAAAAAATAGAACACCACCATGTGATGTAACAAAGTGAGTAGCCAATTTGTTTCTGACTGTTAATAGGGTAGGCCATGTTTCTAGAGAAAATTTTGCATAATTTGAGTTTCCTGCTCTGTGATGCTGATGTGCTGGGGTTTTTTGTGAATGGGCTGTTTCCACGTTACAAAGGGTGCTGTCATGTCATTGCCAGCTAAGATCATATTGCTAATGCATTTTCTACTTCACGAGCAATTGGATATTAAAGACTGTATATGGAGTCATCGTCATGTTTATGGAATGTTTACTGATGTATCCTTGACTTAAAGTACTGGCCCACCTTGGTCTTAGTGTCTCTGGGCATTGGGTGATGCGTTCTCCATTTCATGTCTACTTCTTTGTACCTGTGTTAAGAGGCACAAATGTTTCCACTTGCCAAAAACAATTCCAGGACATAAATAATGAAAGCTGCCTTATTTGCTGTGGGTGGCAAAAATGATTGAGAACCTAGCATCTTTTTTTTTTTTTTTTTCTCCATTATATTAAGCATGTGATTTTATTTTTTTTTTTGGGGGGGGGGGTGGGGGGGAGGAGTTGGGGGGTGAAAGAAATGACTTTCCCATTCCCTTTCCTTTCCCTATATTTAAGTGGTTCAGATGTACTGTTGAAAGCCTTTGTCAGTGGTGCACATTTGGGTTCCAGTTCTGAGTTACAACATTCATGGTGCAATGGTGAATTACAGGTCTGCTGGAGTGGTGTAATGGGCTGTATATCTGCATGGGGATTGCCAAAGTGCCCAAAAGGTACAGAACTGTCCTGAAATCAGTGGCACTGGCTATTTCAAAGTCCATCTCCATGCTTTTTATTTTTATTTGTTTATTATTATTGTTGGTATTTGTCCATTTGGATGGTGCTGCCCCAGGGCTTGCTTTATTTGCACATGAGGCATGTGCCATTGTGTTCCCAAAGGAATGAAAGAATGGATCCAGTCCTGGTACGCCTTCTAGTGCAGAAACTCCCAGCAGCAGGGATGAGGAATGTGGATAACTGAGGAAGTGCATCAGGCCACAGACTGTAGCATCTGATGCACGGACTCAGATGTGAATGATCCAAATCGTCTATTACAAGTTCTCACATCACTTCTATACCTTCACAAGTTTTCTTTTTCTAGCTTTCCCATCCACCCCTACAACTTTCCCATCCACCTTTACATGTCAACAGAGCATTCTACAAAACACTCTTCAACCGTTCACACAGGCACTTGTCCAGTCAGAGCCGTGAGACGTTCCTTCTACTTCTAGAGGTGTCCTTGGTTCTCATGCTGTTTATCTTGCTCCACAGCTTCTGCTCTGAACGGTTTTTCTTGTATTCCCACAACAAACTCTTCTTGGAAAGGCAGAAATTGCCTTGAAAATTTTGTGTGTGTACTTACAAATACGTATAAAATTACATAATTGTATAATATACTTAAAGATGACTTGAAGACTACCTTTAGAGCCTCTAGCAAAATTCAGCAGTTTCCAAAACTCTACTTTAAGATTTTCCTGAAGTCAACTTTAAGATTTAGTGGCTAGCACACTTTAAGTCTTATCTAAAGCTGACTTGAAGACAAAGTCCTCAAGTCAACATTAAGACTTTCCTTGTCTCCAGGAGATTTAATCATTTCCTATGATCAAATCTAAGATTTTGGTCTCCAGTAGATTTAGAGAGTTTCTTCAAAATGACTGTAAGACTCTAAACTCGTAGAAGTCTGAGATTCCCTTTCAACATGGCAGTGGGCAATGGGCAAGACCAGCCCAAATATAGGAAGACAATTTGCCATGCTTTTTGAGCCATACTCAGCTTGTTCAGTAGTTTGGGCTGAAACACCACTAGCAGCAAAATCTCAGATATATAATGCCAAACACTGCAGTACACAAGACTCTGAAGGTTATAGAAAGCTCTACACAGGTTCCTCAAATTGCACATGGAGGAGCCTGGGGTGAGCATAAACAGGCAGGGACAATTGCCTTCAGGTATTTCACCTTATTCATCTTTTTCAGCTCTGATGAAAGCAGGGAGAAGGAGATGATTGTCTCCCTCTACTTCGCTCTTGTGAAGCCCCATCTGGAACACTGCATTCAGACCTGGGGACACAGCTCAAGAAAGATGGAAAATGAGTATAGATGAGCAGAGCAGAGTCTTTGGAAATTTTTGTGGATGTAATTTTTTAATATCTTTTTCAGCTCTGATTAAGGTTCTTTGTGGAGTCCCACAGAAGAATGTTTAGGGATATTATTACTATTTTAAGATTTGGCCTTGCTGAAAATTGTAACCAACAAACTAATCATGGGAAGAACAGCCTACAAAAACATGGCTTCAGTTGCTTCTTGTGCTTTCATCAGAAACAAAGGTATTTTTTGCTTCCCCTTTCAGATCATGCTCACGTAGCTTTCACAGATTTTCTGCAATAAAGCTCCATCAGTGTCTTGCTCCCTTGCAGAGGAAGGAAGGTTACAACTACACTGGTATGTACCATTTATCAGTTATTTCTCTCTTTATGATAGGAAAAACGCAACATGTAACATTCACAGAATGATTTCCTGTTCTGCTGCAGATAATCTCTCTGCCCTCCACTTCTGAGATGGTAAGTAACAACCCTGCTTCAGTCTGCTGGGTTTTTTTCATCAAGACCCAATATTTCACATGCACATGCTCTTTCCTAAACATGTCCACGTTCATGTGTTACCCTTCTCCCTTTGTGTCTATTATCTCACAGTTTGCAGTCCCGTTTCTGTCTTCGTTCAGTTCTCTCCTGTTGTAACAGGAGGATTTTTTGATCGTTACAAAGCAGGGCTCAAATGGCTTAGATTTGGGTATTTCCATGGGCTGCATTAAGTGATTTGTGGGAAAAGGTGATGTTTTCAGTTGTGTTGTAAGTTGTGGTTGTTTGTTTTTTTATTTTTAAAATTGCAACCCCCTTTCCAACCTAAAAGCTCATGGAGAACAACATTAATGTGGATACTCTGCAGCTCATAAAGGAAAAGGCTATGAAATTTGCTGCTAAAAGCAAACCCATACCCTTTGAAGTTCTATTTCCAGCAGCAGCAGAGAGCACAGCTGTCCTTTGTCCATGAGGTAATCCAGCAGAAGAGCCAGCAGGGACCACGTCCCTGGTGTCGCATCGGTGCTGCATTAAAACCTTGCCATGGCTACAAGCCCAGCTGGCTGCGAGATGGTCCTCACACCCTCCCCAGGTAGGTCTGACTTTGGCAAGAAGGGACAACAGAGGAAATATCAGCATTTAACTGTAATGGTGCTTCACTCACTGGTGGCTGGTTGATTTAGCTGCTGCAATAATGTGACCTCTTGCCAGGTCTTATTATCACTGAGGTTCCTTCCAGTGCTTCAGTTTTGCAGGGAGAGTAGATGACCTTTCCATTATTTCTGTCGAAGTGACATGCCATCTCCAAAGGATAGCAAAAAACAAAGTAAGTTATGCTTGACTTCCAGTCTGTTGAGGCACAGGTGAAAGATGAGAAAGGGAGAGGCAGCAAGGAAAGTAATTTAGCAGCTCATTTATTTTCTGTATCTATGAGAACATTTGTTTCTGAAGTGCACCTGTTTTAAAAGATTTGACTTGTTGTGAATGGCAAATAAAAGCTTCTCACTGATGCAGTGTAGCTGGGATTAAGAGAACCTCTGCAACAGACAATGTGGTTCCCTGACCCCACTGGTTTCATAACATCTATCTAATAGTAGTGCAACAAACTCTTTTTCAGTTCCAGGTGAAGGCTGCCTGGCTTGTTTAAGGGGTTATAGCCTGTGCTTGATAAGAGCAAGGATGCTGCCTACCTAGATTCCTGCTTGGGAAAATAGCTTCTGCCTCTAGCATTTATGCACGCATTTCTTCATTGCCACAGTGTGTGGAGGTTAAATTTGGGCAAGACTTGCTGCTCCTTCCAAGAAACTGCTGAGCTTTTGCTTTACCTGTTGGCTGCAGTGATTCCACTGGAATTCTGCAGAATCATATAGGGTCAGTGAGAGCTTGAAAGTGTCTGTGTCAGTGAGTTTAGCAAGCTTCACCTAAAAATCCACAGTCACCTTTCATCAGGGATGTAAACCATGGGCTTAGGCACTCTAGGTCCTTAGAAAGGGAGAGAAGAGGCAAGTGCAGAAGATACATCAGATCCTAGAGGAGATGTCTCCTGTTTCAGAAGTGACCCTTCAACATGTCCTCTTCCCACCTACAGCAGAAGGGTCTTTGAAGAGGTGATTCAGCTTACTCAGATTTGCTTCTCCAAAAGTGTGGTGATGGATGTGTGCTGCTCACCCAGTCTATATTTGTTGCACTAAAAAAAGAGAAACAGATGATTGTAAATGATGTCCACCTTAAAAATGGACTTGAGAGGACTCAGATTGGCACTTAGGCTACTAAACAGGGCTGCAAATTCTTCCAGCTGCAAGGTCTGGTTAAGCAATGGGGAAAGGAAGCTGTGTTTTTGTGTATGTCCAAATTCAGCCTAATTTGTTGCCTCATTTATTTTCTGTATCTATGCAAAAATTTATTTTTGAATTGCATTTGGTTACTCATCCTGAAGGGCTCCTAGTGTTTTCTTGCTGACTTGTTTTCTTTGGGGTTATTTGGACCAAATGTTGACATTTCAGTTTCACTGTGTTTTTGGTCTACACAGCATTGGAATCTGCCGTCATTTTGGTGAGTTCTGCCTGCATGTCTCTTTGTGGATCTCCTATTGTAAGTAGAAATATGAACGAAAATGTATCCTTTCTCAAGTTCATGTTGAAAGGAGTAAAAGTTGCTTTTGGAAGTTTAAGTTAAATGCATTTGGAGGAATGTGTTCTGCGGCACACATTTGAAAGCAATTTAAATTAAAAGTGTATATCTTGAACAAAAAACAATTACATGGTCATTAATTCTAAAAAGTTTCACTGTGGAAAATATTCAATCTACAGTTTCATCATTTAATTTCAGTGCTAAAAGTGAGCTGACTGAGAGAAGAGCCTTCCCCCATCTCTCACATCATGTAAAGCATTTATAAGGAAGGAAAAGATGTGGAGTAACGTGCAATAGAATGTCAAAACAGAATCCCCTGTCCGATCCCCATGCTTCACTAAGGTGTGTATCTCCTGCTTATTTTGCATGAAATGATGTTTTCTCTCAGCTGTGCAACACATAGAACTCGAATTGACCTTATTCTTTGCTTGAAATATTTTAAAATGTTTAAAAGAACCAATTTTACATAGGTTCATTCTCGACCTCTCTCGAATGGAGAACTTCTCATGGAATTAGCGTTGCAGAAATTCCTGTTCCACGTCCTTATCAACTGTTACGTCTAACTATGCACTATGTCACTGCTTGCTGCTTTTGATATTTTGTGTAAAATAATTGTGCTACCACAATGTCTCTTGAGCAACAAACTGATAGACAGTGCTGACCTGGGGGGGCAAGATGAAGGCAGGAAATGCTTGAAGAAAACCACACTGCTGTGACTGAGTTCATTCTCTTGGGTTTCACTGACCGTTGGGAGGTGAAGTTACCTTTGTTTGGGCTCTTCCTGCTCATCTATGTCACCACGCTGGGGGGCAACGCTGGCATCATCATACTCGTCCGGCTCAATGCCTGTCTTCACACGCCCATGTACTATTTCCTGAGCAATTTATCTTTCTTAGACCTCAGCTATGCCTCCACCATTGCTCCCAAGCTGCTGGTGAATCTCATAGCGCAGCGCACCAACATTTCCTTCTTTGGTTGTGCTACACAGATGTTTCTCTTTGCTGCTCTGGCTGATGCTGAGTGCTTCCTTTTGGCTGTGATGGCCTATGACCGCTACATGGCCATCTGTCAGCCTTTTCTCTACTCCGTTGCCATGTCGCGCCGGGCCTGCGCCTCCATGGTAGCTGGGGCTTATCTCAGTGGGGGCCTGACCTCGCTGGTGCACACGTCTTTCACGTTCACCCTGTCCTTCTGTGGCTCCAACACCATCAACCACTTCTTCTGTGACATTCCCCCACTGCTGGAGCTCTCCTGCTCAAGCACCACGGTTAACGAAGTGCTTCTCATCACCTTGTGCGGTTTCATACAAACCAGCTCCTTCCTGGTCATCGTCATCTCCTACGCCTGCATCCTTGGCACCATCCTCCAGCTCCATACGGCAGAGGGCAGGCACAAGGCCTTCTCCACCTGCATCTCTCACCTCATGGCTGTTGGATTCTTCTATGGCTCCCTCCTCTTCATGTACTTACGGCCCAGCTCCAGCTACTCATTGGACACCGACAAGCTGATTGCTTTGTTTTACACTGTCATCCTTCCCATGCTGAACCCCGTGATTTACAGCTTGAGGAACAAGGAGGTGAGGGAAGCCTTAAGAAGGTCACTAGAGAGAAAAGTGTTTTCTCAGTCATTTACTTAGCAGGAAAAACTACATCTAAGTGCTGATAGGGTAGCTCTGGCTCATCGCTGCGCAATCATTAAATCTGTCTGATACCTGTTCCTGTTTTTCCTATCATCTCCATCTTAACTGGTTTCCACAGTTGTATTTTGTTGTTGCTGGAAATAAAAAAGGGATTATGTAGTGAGTATTTTCCTAAGGCAGAAACCTAAAATAAGGCTAATTTTTATTTCAAGAACTGTCTGTCTGCTATTTCACCAAAGGGAATCACTCCCAGATACGGGCATCTACAGTTTTACATTTCTTACATTTAGCGAGGTTACCTTCAACCTCCATATTTCATAGATGAATCCTCTGTCATGCATTTAAGAACTTACGGTTGGTTGTTAAAAATAGAGCAATTGTATTCTGGATTAAGCAGCTCACCTGTACTTTTTGTAGAGGTATTTTGTAACACCTATTCAGAGGCATGACTGTGATCCATTTTTTCTGGAAAGTGATTTATGTCTACTTTTGACTGCAGATGTTTAAATTGAATAAAGTAATTGAAAACTTTCAGATGATGGTTTTCCTTCTCTGATGGAGGGAATAACTTTTTTTCCAGCATCTGGAAAGTAAAACTTCTTTTGTTGCTTGTGACTGAGAACGTACTAAAACATTTTCAAAGTGTCTTTAGCTCTAATGCACAATAAAAATGTTCAATTTTTTAATGATTCTTCAATATCTTTGATTATAAGTTCCTTATGATAATCAGCAGACATTTGTAGGATTTTATCAAGGTTCAAAGCCACACTATAAGTGTCTGTGTCAGGACTCACAGTGCTTTAGCAAGCATTAATTGCCCTGATCAGGCTCACCTGAAACCCCCACCCCCCACATTCAGGAGCTTTATTTAAGCCCAAGTCTGGGGTGTTGCTTTTATTCTCCTTTTGATGTATGTTAGAGGAGCCCTAGTTTTTGCTTAGCTCACAGAGCATCTTGATCCAGATCTCAACCCATGGGCTGAATTTCTCATTTGACTCCAGCCATGCCTTGACCCTCTGAATGTACCTGGTGATCACCAGACTTGATCCTAGCCCTTACTTGTGAGCTGACTTCTGGTCTTGGACTTGGACCTATCTTATCACAATGGCACTGCCTGGTGTTCAATGGTAGGTTGTATATTTGTGTCATTAAAGAGAACACCCTTAACTTGTTCATGGAGCTATGTTGTTGGAATGTCACCAGCTATCTATATTTGCTCAGTATCTTCAGTGATGTTCCCCAGATTGCACTGTGATAAAGTCAAAAGTCGCAATATGTTCATGGCACAGCACAGCAATATTCAGCAACAGGCAGGTTAGATGTTAGGGGAGAATTTTTAGAGGGTGGTGAGGTCCTGGCACATTCTGCATGGAGAGGTTGTGGATTCCCCCATCCCTGGATTCCTGGTTGTGAATCCCCAACCCAAGGCTAGACTGGATGGGGCCATGGGCAGCTTGATATGGTGGGGGGCAATAAGTCCACAGCAGGGGCTGGGACTAGATGGACTTTAAGGTCCCTTCCAACCCAAACTTTCTGTGGTTCTATGATTCTGTGATCTCATCAAAGAGAAATTTGATCTCATCTGAGGAGCTGTTGCAAAGACCAAATCAAGACAGAAACCAAAGAGAGATTTGGATGATTGGACTGCTGCCATTTTGCTGTTTTCTTACAAAAATGTTATCTAGATTGGTTCCCATTACTAAGACTAATGAACAGTAAAAGATTATCTTCATTTGATCATACATGGTTTCCACGTGTACCAATCACTTCTGGCATGAATTAGGTCAACTTAATGTCTTTATAAACATCATCTTTAAGAATCAGAAATACTACAAATCTTCTCAGGATGACATGGTGATGTAATTAGCTTCCATCTCTCAGGGGACATAAAGTGCAGTATAATTGCCATGCTACTGTGGCCTGGCTGTCCAATATATAATTGCTTAAGACTTTTTCTGAGTGTATGAACACAGAGCTGCAGCTAAGTGCCTGCCTCTTTGGAATAAAAATTAAAAATCAGAGGAAATTGGCAAGGCATAGATGAGCTGCATAATTCTTGTTACTTCATGTAAAAATCAGTCCTTATTGAAGTTTACCTTGGAAAGTAAGTATTTGCTGCTGAAAGTTGCATGTTGTTTGATTCTGCAGAACTACTGTAACTATGCCTGAATCAAATCTTAGTTACAACAGTATGTCTGTATTATGTGGGCTAAGACAGCATAAAAGAAAATAAAGAGGTTTGTCTCATCTTAATTTTTTAAGAAAGATTTTCATCCATAAGTGTGGACCTCTGCTGGGCTTTTTTTTTTGTTTGTTTGTTTGGTTGGTTGGTTGGTTGGTTTCCAGCTTGGATTGCAAGGAACAAGCGCAGGATAAGCACAGGTACAGAAAAACATGTTTGCACTAAGATTTAGGGTTGAGATCACATATCTTATGTTGGGGCTCTGTAGGTAACTATTTTAGGCTTAATGCCCTTAGATTCTCACCCTCAGATATGTGTCTTAGGAGCAAACATGGAATAGATATGATGCATGCCACCCTACCGGTGCCTTTTACTTCTCTCTGCTAAATTTAAGAAGCCTGAAAACATTTGTAGACAAATAAAATTTGGTTGCCATTCACAGAGTGAGCTTTATATTGATTTGATAGCAACTAAAATTATATCTGGTGTAGGTTCTTCTGTTGTCAATAAAAACATGTCCTCACCCAAGAACACAGTTCATTCATTGTCACTGCTCACTGCAGAGAAAGGGAGTCTATGCAACTGTCTCCTACTAGGCACCAAGATTTTAGATAGCTTGTTTGGATGGAATAAATGAATGGGTTAATTAGATTTCATTATCTAGGTAGTGATATTTCTCATAGTGAAATGTGTTTTGGGAACTTTGGGAACTGTTTTTCTCAAGTCACTATGTGCTTGTTGACAATCGGTATGAGCACTGCATGTTTCCTTAGCCCACTAATTTTTTAAGCACTAACAAACCTTTCATTTTTAAGCACTAACAAACCTTTCATCATCATTCTTATTTTTCTGGATGGCAGACAGCACACCAGTGAAACTCAATGGCTTCAGGAAACTGCACATCACCAACCACGTTCATTCTGTCTGGATTGACAGACAATCCAAAGCTGCAGATGCCTCTCTGTCTCGCTCCGATTTATAGGAGGGAGAGGAGGTTCTTTGATTATCGATATACCCGGCGTGAGATTAAGAAGCAACGGTTCAAATGTTGGTCCAACCAGTTTATTACAAATCTTAATCAGGGGAAATGGGGAACTATTATGAATTAGGGTAATGAGGGAAGGGAGGGGGGGCAATGGAAAAGAAAGAGGGGGAGAAGGGAAGATAATCGTTACACAATTACTACAAAAGATTTCTTGGGCTTGGTTACAAATGTTGCCCTGATCTGTTGGACCTGTCCATCATCGGTTGAAGTAGTTACAAAGTACATGGAAGATACAACACGTTGTATAAGTTGAATAAAACATGGAATCATACACGGTACAAACATAACAGTTGCAACAACACACAGTAGATAAAACAGGATACGTTTGACCCATGGGCCACCTGGAAGCCAGGAAAAGAAATCTACGTCTAGGCCCTTCCAGGTTTGGACAGGAACATGGGCTATTTTCCGTATACCCTGGGCAATTTGTTTAACAACTTTACCATTATCATCAATCTTTAGACAACAATTAGAATCAGTTTTCCACAGACACCACTCCGTGATACCTCAGGAGTGGTGACATGAATGTTACATGATGAATTAAAAGTAGAAAGTGAAAAGAGACAACCATACATTTAGCAATGACCATACATTTAACAATAACCAATATTAATAAACAAATAAGTAAAACAAACTTAGATATTTGTGTCAGCTGCTTTCCCAACCCAGGAACTCCCAGTGTAAGCCAGGATCCAGATGGGAATTCTTCAGTAGAGGTTGTGATGTTTATGAATAGCCATACAAGATTACACTTCAGTTAATTCACTAAAAGCGTATCCAGCCTAATTTGACAACATGTGGACTTGCCATGGAATGTTTTCTAAGATAATTGTCTCAAGAACTTTCCACTTGAGCATTTCCAAAGCAATTCAAATGCTGAGAGATATGAATATTAGTTTGGCAAGTTAAAGTATTGTTACAGTCCACAGAACTTTTCACAGGACAGTGTGTGCAGGATACCCCCACAGTACAAACCATCAAAGAGGGGTCATCCCAGAAACATACACATCTCTTATTATAACTTAGACGCTTTCCAACAACCATGTTTTGGATGGAACTCCTGGACTGGTGTGACACTGAAAAGCATCAGTGCAAAAGGCTTTCTGATAGATTTCTTTTGTGACCACATCTAATAGATATTAGATGGGTCCCTTGATTCATTTCCCAGTTTTTTAGGAATTTGGATAAACTGTGAAGGAATTACATGCAAATCATAATCAGTTTGGTAAAAAGGGGTGAAAGAAGGGGTCAAAAGAAATGGTATCACCGTGCAGGGAGTACCAGTAAGCCAGGATGACCTGTAAAAAACCCTGAACTCAGTTGTGAAGTTTAACAGATCCAAGGACTGATACCAATCACCACCCATACCCATAACAACACAAAACATAACACTATTGCAACCAAAAAATGTAATCAAGAGGTACATTCAGTGTTCTAGCATGATCAAATCTTCAGTATTTCTGTCACAAAACACAAATAGATAAAATCAGCTATTAGCCTTTTTGTGTTCTGTCAAGGTCCCACGGGGATCTTCTGTGAAATAAAACAAGACACCGACTTGCCCTTTTTGGGCTTTGTTAATATGGTTTAAAAAATGAGGGAACAATCAGCAAGTGTTGATTTCATATTCCTTTTTCGGGGTGTTTTTAGCCTTCCAAAGATATTTGTTAAGGGATCCCGTTAAGGTTAGGGAAACCGGCCTCAGGCTAGCTGAGTCAGTCGACGCAGTCTGGCCAGGGAGGTAACAGTGTTTCCCTGGCTTATCAGCCA